GGGCAGGGCAGGGCGGGGTGGGGCGGCGTGAGGTAGGCACCCCCGTTGAACGCGCAAGAGCTGCGGGATTGCCTACCGCCACGGCGCTCCGCTCGTGCTCGGCCCTCCCGCCGCCCCGGGGTCCGGCCACGCATGCTGCTGCTGCTAAGGACTTTGCGTGCTGTTTTGTATTTACCTGACCCGACGTTAATTTCACATGTTTCCTTTTTTGTTTTTGCCCGCAGAGATGGCAACGCCGGTGGTTTGTCCTGTACGACGATGGCGAGCTCAGCTACTCGGTCGACGAGCACGTGAGTATACATACATATATTATTCATCTCTTTGGTTGCTGTGGGCGACATTCGGCCCGTTGCTGTTCAACTTCTTCCTCCCCCCTCCTCCCGGTTCCCTCTCTCTCCCCTCCCTCCGGTGACGTAAAACCCTTAACAGTGCCCCTCCGCATGCCTCTCCTCGCCGTGCGACCCCGGCCAGGCCGCCATCCAGCCCCGCGGTGCCCCGAGCGGACATCTTGCCATTTCGGGCGAGCAACTTTTCACCGGCGCGCGGATCCCCCTCCCCTGCCCTCCCTCCCCCACACCCCTCTCCTCGTTCGCGCGGCTCTGGCTCTCTTCCTCGTTAAGTGTTACTCTATTTACGGCGGGGCAACGTACCGCCGCCGCAGCCCGCGCGCCTGCGGGTGATTTGATTTCTCGCGCGAATCTTCGCGAAAAACATGGTCGGGAAAGGCCTCTGCTGTTTTCTTTCTTTCTCGTTCACGACGACATACCCAAATAAAGCGGCAGCTACTCGAAATGTAGTGTGTTTTCTCGAAAAAAGTGCATTTTACTTACTCGTTTCAAGAAAACGCACTATACAAATTTCAAATTGCCTCTTTTTTTGGTGTCGATAGACAGTCCCGACACTTGAACAAGTAGCTAGCCGCATAAATATTGGGGTATTATCGCTACCACACGCGTGTTTCGCTGCTCCTCCTCGGCCGGCACGATAATGACGGCAGTAACAAGTGTCATTAGTGCATCTATCGGCCGGGTGTCATTACGGCCATGTCGATGATGTTAATGATGATGATGAAAAGTATGAAAGGAGGCTCGAGCAGCAGCGGCGGCAGCAGCGGCGGCGAGAGGAGCAAGGCGCAGTGATAAATGAACATCTGCATTGACGGAATGATTTTGGAGTCACAATGCGTCTGCGCCGAGGGCAGAGAGAAGGCCGCGCGCAGCAACGCCACGCCCCGCCTCTGGCTTGAGCAGCGGCAGGCCCTGCAGCAGTGGAACCGCCCCGCCCCGCCCCGGAGCCCCCGCTGGGTCCAGTCGAGGTCGACAACACTCTTCAAGTGGGGCCGTGCGGCCAGGCCGTGCGCTGGAGGGGGCGCTGCAGCGCGCTGGCTACGGCACAGGTGCGTGCCGGCGTGCCGCACACTAAAATCCTATGAACTTTTTTGTTCATAGTTACTGATTTCTGTAAACATGCTCGGCTTACGCATTTTTTAATACGCCAGTATGCACAAATTTATTCATACTGGCGCATTAAAAAATGCGTAAGCCGAGCATGTTTACAGAAATCAGTAACTATGAACAAAAATGTTCATAAGATTTTAGTGTGCGGGTCGGGCCGGGACAGCGACCCGCAGCGTGTGCCAGCCGGGGTAGGATCTATCTATCTATCTATCTATCTATCTATCTATCTATCTATCTATCTATCTATCTATCTATCTATCTATCTATCTAAGCTGCATAAGGCAAAGGACACTCTTTCTGATTCCTGAGAGGCGTCATAGGTATTATGTAGATGGCAACAGCAACAGCAACTAAAATAGTACTCTTGTCGTCCATGTAATTTTGCGCCCAACAGATCTTCAGTAACTTTTCAGTAAATATTTTCTTCAAAATTAATCCATGAAGTACGTCATCCATTCGGTAAATTTACGTGGAGCTCGGCGCCTGCGAGACTGCGGGTAGGCCACCCCGCAGTACACGTATGCACTGCGGGCGAGATTTTGCCTACCTATAAGGCGTTATGAGTGCTTGCACGGGCCGATCTGAGCAATTTCGTACCGGCGAATAACAAACGCACTTTCTCGATGATCCCCAGGGGAACTATCTGGAGATGAAACAAGCCGGCCAGTCCTCCCCCTACCAGGGCTAGCTCCGACCTCCACCGGTCCTTCGGCAGATACCGCGTCGTCTTGTACACAAGTCGAAACTGTTCATGTGCGAGCCGCCACTGGAATTGCCTTGCGTTGAAGAAATTGACCTTGAGGTAATTCCTTGTCTCATGGGCATTTTTATTTTGATATATTGGAATTTCTTTGAAAAAAAATGAAAATTTCCTAATGTTCTATCAATGCAACGCTTTTCTGGGAATGCTAACCATCATCCAAAACATTGACCGCGGTATTCTCGTTATTGTGGCCGATAGCGAGTGTGTGAGGTGGGCGGCGCTGTCAGGCCCGCCCCTGTATCCGCACCGGCGGCACTTGAGGCAGGTCGGGACGCGGGGGGCAAGAGGAGGGACAGGGCGGGCAGGCGTCGATGGGCAGCGTGAGAAAAAAAACGTGTGAACTCCAACGCGGTCCATCTGCACCTCAAACACACACGCGCACACACGCGCACACACACTCGCACACGCACGCACGCACGATGGCCGCTGCCCCTCATTATGGCGACGTGCATCGCGCGCGCTGATGGTGATGTGTTAGTGGAGAATAATTTGCAGCAGCAGTCTTGGGCGGCGTGGCGTGGTGCGTTTGCATGACTTATGCCGGGGACTTGTCTCTCGCGCGCCAAGCGGCCAGGGGGAAGAGGAGGGAAATAAGAAAACTGTCGACGACAGAGTTATTCCTGTCGCACCCTCCTCCTCGTCGTCCTCTTCTTCCACTACCACCACCTCCTCGTCCTCCCGCTTCGCCTCCTAGGCGAGCAGCCCGAGTGCCGAGGATGCTCAAGGCTATTGGACCGAATGTAAAATAGTGGAGTGCATATTTGCGCGCAAATGGACTCCACTTTATGACTGTGCTGCCCGAGAGAAGCTCGCGCTGCCGGTGCTGCTGGTGGTGGTTGTTGTTGTAAACTCGGAATAAATGTATGAGGGAAAAAGCTGCGCGAGGACGGAAAAGCGCGAAGGGGAGAGGAGGGCCGTAAAGTCAAATTACTCACACCATACCAGAAAGTAAAAATAAAAAAAGGAAAAAATGTGTGTGTGTGTACAAAAACGAGGCGTCAGGTTCGAAAGTGAAATGGCGGGTGCAGCAGTGCGGCGGGGTCGGGAGAGCCTCGGAGGAGCCGAGGGGGCAGCACATCATGCAGATGCGTGCGCCCGCCGCACGCCCCGCGCGGCGCCCCCTTCGGGACGGATCGCAGGCATATTTGCATGCGAAATGATGGTTTCGTGGAACAAATTTTCTTGTTCCCGCCGCGGAGGGCGTCGGTCCTGACCAGACCAAGGCTGCGCGGCGGGCAGTGGAGGGGGGGGGGAGTCATTACACGCTAATGAGGGCGACACTGAGGGGAGAGCGCCGCCGGTGTCGACTTCCGAGGAAAAACAAATCAAAAATAGACTTGCGTGTCGCTGTCGTGTACGTGTGGGACTAGGTTACCGGCTGGACCTCACACCGCTCCACGCCCGTTCACACCTTCTGGACCAGACAATTCCCCCTGCCGTCACTCCAATAAAGCTGGCCCCACGACTATATGGGGTGTCTGTCCACCTTCTCCTGCACACAGTCCAACTAATAAAGGGGAAGAATTTTACAGGGGCCTATATTGGTTAGCCTGTAAAGCAGAGACCCTTTGGCTGCCATTATGGGAGCAAACCTCTGACCTAACGGGTGCTGACCCTGGAACATAAGCCAACACCACTGGAGCTGACCCTTTCCACGCATACCTGACCGCTGCTGGAGCTGACAAACCGAGCAGACGGGACTGGACGCCACCTTGAACTTTGGCGCTTCGCTCTTTCTAACCCTCTCTCTGCGCGTGTCTTGTACTGCGATAACACTCGGCGACCTTCCTGCCCCCCCCCCTCTAACATTCCCCTCCTCTCCATCTGCCGTGCCTCCGACTTTGCAGTGCAGTCTGCTGAAACGCATTCAAAATGACTCGTATTTGTTGAACGCACGCGCTGCCAGGAGGGAACCGGTCTGAGAGAAACGAGTGAGAGAGAGAGAGAGATATAGAGAGAGACGAAAAGCGCGGGTAAGACAGAGAAGTTGGCTCTTCTGTAAAATTAGTAAGCAAGATGCAAGGATGCTGCGCCGGACCTGCACAGCAGAGGTCTTGATTAGCTTTTAAGTGGCTGCATGGAGGCAGCTCGGGCCGCTGCGGGGCGGGGCACCTGCTCGCCCAGCCGAACAGGACGTGACTGCATCCTATATTCCTGCTCAAGAAGAGATTTGTGGGCCCTTAAATTTTTTCCCCCTGCTGCTCAACTTAAATGCAGTAATAATTACCTTCTGCTCGTGTTGGAATGTTGTAAAGTCCGGCAGAGAGTGGCGAAGCGTGGCGTGCGCGCCGGAGGTGCGCTTGTCACCTCCTCCCTCCCCCTCTCCCTCCTCCTCCCTCTCCCTTCTCCTCTCCTCCCCCCTCCCCCTCCTCTTCTCCCTCCTCCCTCCTTCTCCCCCTTTTCCTGAGGATCATCAGCCTCGACTACCGATAATAACGCCCGTGGGTCCGGTGGGTGGCCTTGGCGTCGACCACGTGACGGGCTGCACAGTGCAGGGGCGGGAGCTCCAATACCCACACCGTGCTGTGCAGGATCACGGTGCGCGCTCGCGAGCGCTTTTGGCGCCCCGCCTCGCCACGCCCCACCACGCCCTGCCGCGCCAAGGACCTGCTGCCGCCGCGCCGCCCGCTGGAACGGACCGAGTGCAAGTCATGGACAGCAGATCCGTCACTGACGCCTCCCCCCCCCCTCCTTCTTTCCCCTTTCCTTGATTCGCAATCCTTCTTAAAGCCCTTCTTTCTATAGTTGACGCGAAAAAGGTGGAGTTGGGAGTCTCCGTTGCGATTTGCGTTGATACAGAAAACGCATCAGCCATCAGCCCATCCCTTATTCCTTTGAACTTTGCTGCCGGCCCCCAAAATTGCAGATAGCTACAAAACACTATTTGAACAGTAAATGAACAGTAACAAAACAAAGTTCAATTTGGAAATGCGAGCCAAAATTTAAGTAGAATAATTGTCATGGTCAAAGTTCAGAACGTTCCAAAATCTTTAAGTGTTGTTTCGACAAAATCCGACCTTCTTTATAGCAGTGCGTGGAGGAACGCACGCGCGCAGAGGGAGATATGATCCCTGCCTCCGCAGCCAGCGCTGCGCAGCGCCGCGCCACCCGCCTGTTTTTCGGTCCAAAAGCCCCAAAAAATCTTTGTTGGCCGCCCGGACAAATGTTCAGCGATGCTATCGCGGCCACCGGGAGGACCGCGTGAGCGGCAGATGACATCTTCCACCGAGCCGCTGCCTCTGCAGCCGCTCTGGCACGAGTGCTGCGTTGCAGTTCAAATATGTACCGAGGATGGGTTCCGCAATCGCTGATTGCGAGCTGATTGTTTGCCCATTGCTTGCTCGCGTGGCGATTAGATAAGCCCTTGGCGAGTGAGGCGGCGGACGCGTTGGCGGACAAGGCCAAGGATGTTATACTTTTGACGATAAAGCAGTGAATGAGATCAAGATCGATTGCGAAGGTATAGGAGGAGGAGGAGGGGGGGGGACTTGGATTTGCAGACGGGTTTTGTCTCGAGTGGGCTGATTCGCCTTAAGACTCGGTGATATAGGTGGGTTTTATATTCTCATGTGAGGTGAAGGGGTCCTCGAGCGGCATTCTTGAGGGATCAGCAGGAATGCGCGTTTTGCTCGGGATCCGCGCGGAAGGTCCTTGGCCCTGGGGAGTGCTTGCTGTGAGC